CAGTGGGGAGGCTGAGGCAGGGAATCTTTGTGGGTTCGAGGCCAGCCTGGTCTACATAGAGAGTTCAGGAACGCCAGGATTACACAGAAAGATCCTGTCTCAGCACAGACAGACACACAAAAAGCCAGGTATAACAACACGTCTGTATCCCCAGTTCTAAGGAACAAGTCAGAAACAGGAGGATTCTGGGAACTTGTTGGCCAAGTTGGTGAGCCCCAGTTTCAGTGACTGAGACCCTGTCTCAAAAACTAAGGTGGCAAGAAATAGAGGAAGACACTTGACATCTGCCTCTCCCTCAACATGAATGCACACATGCATGTCCAGCCACTGTCTTAGCATCAACTGTCGACTTGCTACAACCCACAGTTTCCTAAGAAGGGGTCTCAACTGAGGGACTGCCCAGATCGGACTAGCATTAAACATGTCTGGGGGGGTGTCTTGATGGTCAGTTGCTATAGAAGGGTCCATCCCAGCGTGGGCAGCACCAGTCCATGGACAGGTGATCCTGAGCTGTATAAGAAGGCTAGCTAAGCATGGATCTGTAAGCGAATCAGCAACCAGCAGCCATGGCTTCTCCCTCCAAATTCCTGCTTGAGTTCCTGCCCTGACTCCCCTCTATGATGGACGGTGACCTAGAAATGTAAGCCGAATAAATGTTTTCTTCCCCTCAGCTGCTTTCAGGCAAAGAGTTTTATTACATAGCAACAGAGACAAAACTATAATGCCCACACACATGTGCAGACACATGAAAACACACACATATATGTAACACACAGTGTTAGCATGTACAGACTTTCTTCTTGTCTGTCGCCCCCATGGGACAGCATCATGACTGTTTACATGACATTTGCAGTGTGTTTGGTACCACAGATCAGTTAGAGCTGGTCCAAAGTGCACCAGAGGGTGTGTGGCCATCCTTTGCAGATACCGCATCCTTTTATGTAGGAGACTTCAGCCCTTGTAGAGTCTGAAATCCATAGGTGTTGTAAGGCTAGGCCTCGGGGGCTACCAATGCACACCTGTTCGGGAGGGTCCTTGTTCATCTGGGAGAACAGCTGTGCTTCCCACTGTCTCCCAGAGAAGGCCTCGATGGGACTGGGTTCCATTCACCCACACAACAAGCCTGCAGCTTAAGATGCCCTACTGGCATCCTTGCTAGCCCTGTCTCACTTCCCCAGGCCATCCCTGTGCTTCTAGGGGTTTCCCTTCCCATGTGAGCATTGGTACCCAACCCTCATTCTGGCGGTCCACCTCTGGGCATTCCTACACTAAGGCATGAATGCGGAAATGAGAAGTCCTCTAGGGCTGTCCTGACGTTCAGGCACCTCCAGTCTCTGAACACTCCTGACGTATACCCCTGCAGGGTTGTTCCACCAGCTTCCCTGTGAACTTGACTGGTCACTTTCAAACCTCAATCTTTTTTGCTGGAATTTATTTTTTTATTTTTTATTTTATTTATTTATTTATTTATTTATCTATTTATTTATTTATTGGTTTTTCGAGACAGGGTTTCTCTGTGGCTTTGGAGCCTGTCCTGGAACTAGCTCTGTAGACCAGGCTGGTCTCGAACTCACAGAGATCCGCCTGCCTCTGCCTCCCGAGTGCTGGGATTAAAGGCGTGCGCCACCATCGCCCGGCTTTTTGCTGGAATTTAAAGCCACTTCCTCACCTTGTGACTCCCGCCCCACCCTGCACCCTTGTTGTGAGACACACGGGCTCGATGAGAACACTGGCTTTGAGTTGAGCCCCTCACGGACTTAACACAGGTGTTCATCTTAACTTCTCCAAGCTCAGCAGTCCCGGCCTTTTAAAGCTTGCCCGTCAGGCCCGTTTTCCAGGCTTTCAATCATCTTCAAGGTCGTAAAGTGCCACCCCCAGCTGCTCGCTGAGACCACCAGATGTGGACTGCACCCAGAGAAGTTCATAGGAGGGAGGTGTCTGGCCCCCATAAATCGCACTTGCTCTCAGCTCCGCCCAGGAGCCTGAGACCAAGAACAGGTCCCAGCTTGCTGTTGAAGACCATAAAACTTCTGGTCTTTGAAGGCTCCTTTGTTGGGCATGTTCCTTGTAACAGGAGTGCAAGCCCACCAAGGGCCCATAAAACTTCCCCAGGCTTTGTGCAGGGACGCCAGACTACTCCCAGCCTGGCCCACTCTAGCCCACAGCCAAACTCTTACTCGGGTTTGATCTGAAATAGCCTGGCCTCAAATTGCTTTGTGACCTGTTAGCTTTACAAATGGCTTTTGAGGCCAAATTGCCCCTTGTAATCCTGACTGTGCCATCCATGGGAGCTGAGAGGTTAGGGGCTGGTGGGGAGGTGGGTGGATGAGGGAACGCCATTTTCATAGAGATTTCAAACAATTCACTACAGAATAAAACCCTGGTCAGTCATGGCTGCCGCCAAGGGGGAGCTGGGCAACTACCACCTTATCGCTCTGACCTATCCTATCTCATTTCAGATGGGAAAGGGTCTCTAGAAACTCACCTTTAACGATGTCACCCAAGATCATGAAGATCCTTAGGAGGAGTCCTGGGTACCCTGACCTATCCTCTGGCATGGACTACTCTCTAGCAAGGCCATAGGCCTTGGGGAAAATTCAAAATCAACCAGCAGGAAGGTAGGTTCCCCTCTTATGGTTGAGTTGTTACCCAGTCCCTGGTCCATCGAGGAAAACAACACTGTGGACTGTGAAAGAATAAAGAACATGACCTCACTGGGTGGGTCACACATGCAGTCTACCACGTGGAAATGCAAAGCGCAAAGAAAGTACCCGGGTGGGGATGATAGTCCTGTCAGCAAAGTGCATATGGCAAAAGCGTGGGCACCTGAGGGCAATTCCTAGAAGCCATGTGAAAAAGCTGGGTGTGGTGGCACACGCTTGCAGTCCCACCACTGGGGAGGCTGAGCCAACAAGATCCCTGGGCCCACTGGCTGGCCAGCCTAGGCTACTTTCTGAGCCTTGGGACAGCAAGAGACCATCTCAAAACAAGGTGGATGGAGCCCAAGGAGCACCACCTGAGATTGGTGGCTGCTCTCTGATCTACACACATACACACACACATGCACACACACACACACACACACACCATGTACTTATGCACTCACCCCATAGAGTGAGTGAGTACTGCATGCCACTAGCTGGATGAAGTTCAAATCAAGGGGAAATGGAAACCCTAGCAGTATGAGTCTAAATAATGACATGTCTAGGAGGTGACAGATGGGAGGGTATTGACTGGAAAGGAACATTATAGAAGTGCAAAAAAAGAGTCTGGATGTTGATTGAGTGGTGGTGACATGGATATTCACATAAAAAACAAGTACTTCCTAATTTGATAAATTGAAATAAAGAAATTTTAGTTTATTCAAGACTTCATTCAGACAACACACAAAAACTATATATATCTATATAGATATAGATATGGCTTATTTCCGCAGTTCATACCTAGAGACATTTCTCTGGCTGTGGAGAGTGCTGGGAAGCACAAGGACAGGAATTCCCCCCCCCCCCCCCCCCCCCCGCACGAAACTGGCTCTGGGCACTCCTTTGCTACAAACGTCTTTTGATCAGTGTCGTCTGACTCCCTTTGGGAAAATTCCAGGGAGAGAATGGAAACCACATGCACACGCACACACACGTACACAGGGGTAATAAGGCTTTTTCAGACAACAGCGACCACAGACCTGAGGAGTACAGGAGCATAGGACAGGACAGTTTCTCCTTGACAGAGGTCATAAGCATCCCAGGGTTTTGTTGTTGTTTGTTTGTTTTGTTTTTTGAGATGGGGTTTCTCAGTGTGACAGCCTTAACTATCCTGGAACTCGCTCTGTAGACCAGACTGGCCTTGAATTCACAGAGATCTGCCTGCCTCTGCTTCCCGAGTGCTGGGATTAAAGGCGTGCGCCGCCACCACCTGACCCGGGTTTATTTTTTAATATGACAATAATAAACTTGTCATTTGCAAGCCACTTTATAACTTTCTATAACTTCCCATACATTAACTAATTTTATTTACACATTAATCCTGCAAGCAGTAAAGTTATTATTCTCATTAGCTGTGGAAGCTGGCGCTTAGAGAGATTAAATGACATGCTTGTGACATGTCACTTCAGGTTCAATGTTAGCAACAAGGCTCTAGCTTGTTATGGTTCATTTGCTATTGCTATCACACGAATACCTGAACATGGGCAATTTCATAAAGAAAAGAGGGTTCTTTAGCTCACAGTTCCCAAGGTTGAAAAGCATGGTGCCGGTGTCGGCTCAGCTGTGGTCAGGAGCTCACTGCGGACAGCATTCCAATGGGGGTGTATGTAGAGGAGCAAGAGCTAACACCAAAAGAGAGGGGAAGGGCAGCTTTGCTATTTCCTTAAGAACTGGCTCACTAGAACTGACCCAAGATTCTCAAAAGAAAGACCTTCACCCCTTCTGGCGACATGCCCCCATGACATGAATGCTCCACTCTAGGCTCCACCTCTTAATATTACCACCGTGAGGACCTAGCTGCTAGGTTGGGTTAATGCAGGCAAGGACATCCACTCTAAATGGGTTAATGGTAGGAGGATGTGGGACCTCTGGGAGGTGATATGGCCGTGAAGGCAGAGGCCTCATCAACAGAATTAGTACCTTAAAGAGACTCTGAAGATGAGGATTGTAACTCAGTAATAGAGCACTAGTACGCATGGGCCCCAGGCTCAGTTACCAGGACCACAGAAGGGCTTCTCCCAGGAGACCATGTTATCCCTTTTACATTCAAAGAGAATCACAGCTTCTGGGAGTTAGGAAGCCCACCCCCACCCCCACCCCCCACCACACACCAAATATTCCAGAATCTTGGTCTTCAATGTCCTAGGCTTTGGCACTGAGAATAAACCTCTGTTTCTTTCTTTCTTTTTTTTTTTTTTTAAGCAGCACTGAAGTTTTTATTCATGTGAATTGTTAAAGATGGGCATCTATACCAGTGTCAAATGAGGGTGGGAGAGGAAGGCAGGGGAGGCAAGGAGAAGGAATTCCCGTCTACTGGTAATAAAGCTCCAGGTTCATCCCATCTTGGATTTCATAATCTCCCAGAGACACGTGGTCCTTAAAAATAGTGTACCACTTTTTAAGAACGATCCTATTCCATCGGGTGCCAGTTTGGGCTGCTATTAGTTTCTTCAAGTCCCCGATCGTGTCATGGGTGTTGCACTTGACGCGGACTTTCTTTCCTAGATGGTTGTTGCAAACCACCTCAGTCACTGTGGCTGGACCTCTAAACCCCTCGAACTTATCGACGACACAACTCCTATCTCGATCGCCGCACTCTAAACCTGTTTCTTATAAGCTACCTTGTTCATGGCATTTTTCTTACAGCAGTCTGAATGGACTTAGACATTACATTAAATTCCTATCTGTTTAAAATACCTGGAGTGGGGGCTGGAGAGATGGTTCAGTGGTTAGGAGCACGGGCTGCTCTTCCAGAGGACCCGGGTTCCACAGCATCCACATGGCATTCACAACTATCTGTAAGTCCAGTTCCAGGGGATCAGACACCCTCTTCTGACCTCCACGGGCACTGCATGCGTGTGGTGTGCAGAAAAGACAAGCAGGCGAAGCTCCCATTCATATAAAATAAAATACCTAGAGTGGTTTCTTTTTTCTACAACTGGCCTCTGAGTATTGATCAGAAATGATGGCTAAATCAGAGGACCCTGTTTGGAATTCAATGGACCTGATGTGGTTTCGGTGGCACCTGGCAGAGATCAGTATTGATTTTTTTTCTAGGGCTAGCCTGTCCCCTTCCTGAGGGTCATATACCCCAGTAGAACCCTCTTCCTGGGCACTTGTTATCCGGGGTGTCACACCGCACAGTGGCTCACAGAGTCTTTTAGAAGCTGGGGACCAACTCCAGAACTACCTATCTCTGGACTTCTTGCCAGCTAAACAGAGACTTCTCAGGGTTCAAGGCATTGTTCATTGGGATTTGAGCTATATGAAGTCATAAGTCCTTCCTAACACATACGCCCAGCATACTCTGATGGCTCTTGGCTGGCTATTGACTTGGCAGGAAATGTGAATTTTTCCTTCAGCTCGCCCATCGAAACACAAGCATTCTCCCTCCTCCCCTCTGCCGCACAGCCAAGGCCTCTCATCGGCTCTGACCTCCACTGTGTGCTCTGCGCAGCCAGCCCCACATGTCTGACGTCTTCTACAGTAGGCCTTCTCAGTGTGCTTGTCATTGCTGTCACTCTAATTTTAGATTTGTTGACAGTGTTAGGGACCCAACTCGGCCTTACACCAACTAGGCAAGCTTTCTAGTACTCAGCCACACACACTCAAGCCTTTGATTTCTTTTTTCTCTTTCTCTCTCACTCTCTCTTTCTTTCTTTCTTTCTTTTTTTCTTTCTTTTTTGTTTTTTGGAGACAAGGTTTCTCTGTGGCTTTGGAGCCTGTCCTGGAACTAGCTCTTGTAGACCAGGCTGACCTCGAACTCACAGAGATCTGTCTGCCTCTGCCTCCCGAGTGCTGGGATTGAAGGCGTGTGCCGCCACCACCCAACAAGTCCTTGGTTTCATGAGTCAAGGTCTTACTACATAGCCCAAGATAGCCTCCAACTCGCCACCCTCCCACTTCAGCTCCCCGAGTTCTGGGATCACAGGGCTTTGCTGCCGTGCCTGGTCCCAGCCTGCGCTTGCATCAGTGCCCTTTGTCGTGTGAACTGGACTGAGTGGGGATAACACACGTGACTGGCTAAGTAAATGAGTGTAACCGTTTCCTGTCCAGTGGCATGGTCCAGCCTTTGAGAAAAAAGAGCAGCAAGAGTGTGAGGCTTGGTCCAGTCTCCTCCCCAGGGGCACACACGCCTGCTCTCCCCTGCAAAGCCTTGCTTTCTTCCTGCTTCTCCTTATTTTCTTGGTCTTTAAGGCTTTTATGGCCCAGCATTTGGCCCTGTTTTAGTGCGCTCTCGTTATGATTGATGCTGCTTTTACTTGCTATTTATTCACGGCACATAAACATGCTTAAGTTTCCCCTGTCTTAAACAATAATAGAAACTACGAGCCCTTAGCTGAGTTTGCTCTCTGCTGTCTGGAGTGAGCTCTTCAGAAGTCATCGACTTGCTCAGTTTTTCTCCGCCCCATGGATCCTTACCTCTCCTAGCACGCTTGCTCTAAGTGATGGGCAGGAGCTGGAAGCCTCCTAGGACTATGGGAGGAAAGGTGTGGGGAGCTCAAAGAACTTCACCCCTGGGACTTTTCCCTTCTCTCTTTGGCATGGAGGACTTCTTCCCACCAACTGACTTCCAACTGCTCCAGAACCTTCTATGAGCAACTGCTACCCTCAAGGAAGGTTTCTCCAACATCCTCTGTGTTGTTCCAGTCTGGAAAGTTCAGGGAAGGGCTCTAAAGGGACTAGCATGCACCAAGGCCCAGCATGCACCAGGCATCCGCCGCTGGCTAACTCCTAGTGTAAGCCAGCTTTCTGTCACAGTAACCAAAGACCTGAGCAGGCATGGCTGGAGAGATGGCTGCATGGGTAATGTACTCACTGTGCAAACACAAGAACCCGAGTTCAGATCCTGGGGCCCACAGGAAAGCCAGGTGTGGTGGAGTGTCTGTAACCCCAGTGATCGGGAAACAGGTGGATCCCAGAGGCTTGCTGGCCAGCTCCGGGTTCAGTGAGAGAGCCTGCCTCAAAAAATAGGGTGGAGAGCAATAGATGAGGACACCCAGTGTCAACCTCTGGTCTCCACATGTTCACACACAAGCACCACCACACACACGTGCATATATATTGCATACACCACACATACAAAGGAAAATCCCCCACAAAATATCTAAAATAATTGATTTATAAAGAGGAAATGCTGTCATGTGTCTGCAGTTCCAGCACTTGAGGTGGACACAGGAGGAATTCAAGTTTGACGCTCACCTATTTTATATAAATCCCTCTCTCCCCAGCTACAGCCCACCTGCCGGGCCCACTCCTCCAGCTGTCCCTCTCTTGCCCCTGCTTCTCCTTCCATTGCTGCTGTCCCCAAGGCATCCATCCTTCTGCTTACCCAAGCACCCTGGATGACTCCAATCCATGATTCTAGGGTGTAGGCATGTCCTCAGTTCTCTTGCCTCTTGCTAGGTCAATGTGTTAAACAGAGTCTAACCCTCCAACACTTTCCAGGAAGTGAGCACACAGCCTCCACCCAGCACACAGCCTCCACCCAGCACTCAGCCTCCGCCCATCACACAGCCTCCACCCAGCACACAGCCTCCGCCCAGCACACAGCCTCTATCCTCCCTGAAGTGCTTCCTTCAGTGGCAGCCCCGCATCCAAGGACTGTAGCGTCTTTCTTCCACAGAACTCCTGTGACTATGTCAGCAGCTCCCTTGGTCACTCGCAGCTTTGTAGGTCCAGATGGGCCAGTCAGCTCCCGTTCCCCATTCTTGCTTCTTCCCTCCCGCTGCAGAAGTCCCTGTGAACTACCCAGCATTCCAAACTCCATTTCAGTCTCTGCTTCTGTAGCCATGGGCTTCCCAGCACCCCTTGGAGGGTCCTCATGGGATCAAGTGCCAGAAGCCTATGGGGTAGCTGGCTGGCTGCAGCTCCCCTGTTTTGATACCCCACGCCCATGCTCAGATTCTCAGAATCTACTAAAATCTATTCACTCTCAAGTCCTAGTCTGTCTTAGGGACCATCCAAACCCAGCTACCAGGATTATGAAGGCTGTCTTGTTAAACCCCAATGTTTTGGGGGCCTAGGGAGACATCTCAGTCAGTAAAGCGATTAGCATGCAAGCACAGACCTGTGTTCAATCTTCAGGATCCACACGAAAAGGCCAGGTGTGTGGCGCATCCTTGCAATCCCAGCACTGGGGAGCCCCAGCTAGCCAACCTAGCCTAATTGGTAAGTTCCAGAACAATGAGAGACCCCCATCTCAAAAAATAAGCTAGATAGTGTCTGAGAAGCAAGGCTGAGATTGGTCTCTGACCCCCACATGCCCCCACGTGAATATACGCACGTGCACATATGCACCCACACCAATACATGCATGCTTGAACACACACACGTTCTGAGCCACATCTGCAGTGTGCACCACTGTGACCCTATGCCTTGTTTTTAAGTGGCTTCCTCTCAGAAGTTCCTTTCCTGCTACTCTGTCCTCTGTTGTTTTGCTTCTGCCAGCCCCCAGGTCACAGCATCCAGCCCAGCTCCGGACATCACAGCTGCTCTCGCAGAGTCTCCCAGTGGTGACCTACACGGCTGCTCTCCTGCCCAAATAGCTCTCCTGAGCTCTGGGCCCCTTGCTATGCCTGACTGGGTCCTCACATCTCTGCTTGACAGTTCCATAGCACTTGAACCACTCCTGGCAACCTGGCCGCCTCTGTCTGAGCCAGCTGCTCCTCAGAGTTTCTTTCCTGTGAGCTCTCCTGCATCCTGATACCCTCAGCAAATAGCACTACAATTGGTTGCCTGCAAAGCCAGGTATCCAGGAGTCACCCAGCTTCCATCGGGTCTCCTCTCTGCTCCTCCTGCACTCAACTGTCTGTCCCAACACAAGCCTACCTGTGATGACCAGTGTTGACTGTCAACTTGACAGGATCTACAGCTGCCTCGGAGACAAGCCTCCAGGAACACCTCTAAAGGACTGTCTTGGTTAAGTTAGCTGGCCATGTTTATGAGGGATATTCTTGATTGGGTAAACTGAGGTGGGAAACCCACCCTAAAAGTAGGTGGTGCCATCCCTGTGGCTTGGGGCCTGGACTGCATGGAAAACAAAACAGAAAAGTGCTCTTAGCTTCCTGCCTGTGGATGCAGTGCGGTCACAGGACTCCCCACCCTGATGAACGATACCCTTGAACTGGGAACAAGACAAACGGCTTCTTAAATTGCTTCGGTTTGGGGTACTTTATCACAGCACCAGAAAGCAGTGACTGCACACCCACACCAGTGTTCCCATTCTGAGGTCTTCTCTCCAGCAGCCCCTTGGCCTTGTATAACCCATCTCTCCTCGTCTCGGTCTCTGCATCTATGAAATGGGTCATTAATAGCAATACCCACTGTCCAATTCCTAGCATCACATAAACAGCTGTGGTAGTGCATACCTGCAATCCCAGCACCCAGGAGGTGAAGGTAGGCTCAGAAGGTCAAGGTTGTGGACCATATGAAATTCTGTGTCAAAAAAAAAAAGATAGCAGCATCTACTCTATAGGGTTGCTGCTGGGTGTCAGGGGTAGTGTGGGTATCAGGGGCTTAGACGAAGAATCTCAGTACATTTTGTGCTGCTAGACCAGAATCCACAGGCTGAGTTACTCATAAAGAAAGACATGAGAGTTGTGTAGTAGCATTTCATTTCTATTTTAATAAATAAAGCTTGTCTGAAAGTCAGAAAAATAAAACAGCCAGCCACTGGCTCTTACCTCGACCTCAGTCCGAAATGACAACCCTGCCTCCAGAAATCTCAGAATGAGACTGAGTCTAAGAGCTGTCTCCTCCTGTTTTATAATCCTCTCTAGTGCTGGGATTAAAGTCATACACTGTCTGGTTTCTATGGCAACTAGTGAGGCTACTGGGATTAAAGGTGTGTGTTGCCACTGCCTAGTCTGTAAGGCTGACTAGCGGGGCTGTTTTACGCTATGATCTTCAAGCAAGCTTTGTTTATTAAAATACAAGTGAAATGCCCCTGCAGAGTTGATTCAGTGGTCAAGAGCATTTACTACTCTTGCAGAGGACCCTTGATCAGTTTCAGCACCACATGGTGGCTCACAAAAACAAAAAACATATTTCCCCTAGTACCCTAGTCTTACCCACTCTTTGGGAAAGTGTGGGTACCTGGAGGAAGATGAAGACAGTGGCCATGGATAGATGGACAGACAGATGAACAAGTAACCTCCTACCTTCGGATCTTGCAGAAGAGTGTGGCTTCTAAAGATGGTGTGACTCGGTTTCTGTCCCACAAGGGTGATTCAGTCACATACTTATGTAGCTCAGTACAATGTAGAGGTGATTCAAGGAGGTGTCTGAGTTGTTCCCATGTCCCCTCATCTCAGGGGACTTTGGATTTTTCACAGAATTATTGATTTAATCAAAAATCACCCAACTAGTC